TATTATTTGAGTTTCAAAGTTAGATTACCGTTTATTAAACTTTTTATGTTTATAAAGATAATACGATATTATAAAAGTTTAAGATATGTTAATTTTATACATGTATTTATAGTTACTAATGTTAATCCGTTCTGCCAATATATTATATATTTTTAACATTAATATTTTCTATTTATGAAAATAAAATTGATTAATTTATAAATTTAATATAATTTTATAACATTCACTTTATTATAATAATTTCATTTAATTTGATAGTTTATGACTATTAAATAGATAAAAAGAATAAAATCTGTTTTCATATTCATATATATATATTAATGTATAATTATTTTCATTACTAATTCGAAATTTTATTGAAGTTATTAATTAGTGAAATATTTATATAATGTTTTTAAAGTTAAGATCTTGCTAAAATCTTTTCAACAGATTTTTAAAAAAGAATTCATACATATTTATATTAAAATAAAAAGATATCAAAGATATTATGATTGAAGTGGTTACAAAGAAATGAAATATAGTTAACAAATAATTTTTTTGCTAATGGTCCAAATAAAAAAAATCACACATGAAATAAGTCATTACTTCTCTTTTAATATAATAGATAGAACGACTAGAATTTATATAAGATATTTATTCTTTAACGATATGGTTTAATGTTTTTTATCTTTACTAGGTGCGGCTTGAGAATCGGTGCTGTAAACGTTTGGTTTATGGTAAAACTATTGGAATTTGGAAGCTGTGTGGCAAAACGTATGAATCAAAAAGCTCCTTTACATTCTTGGTGTAAACATTTTAGTCATTCTGCGACTTAAGTCTTATACGTGTAAAAAACGTTTGGTTTGATGGGTTTAATTGCAATTTGTGAAAGTATGAAGTCTAAACGTATGAATAAAACATCCTATACATATATAGTCCTGGTGAAAGTTAAGTCGATTCTTTGTGTAAATATTAAAATATAGGATAAAATAATGTTAATTTGTATATTTAAAATTAACAAAAGTGTATTATAATATTTAATTCATAAGGTATCGGTTTATTAATCTATTTTAAAATTTATTAGATTAATTTTTAATTTATTAATCTATTTTTTAATTTATTTAACTATTTCATATTTTGTTATTTATTAAAAGGTCCTGAAGTCGATAAACGACACGGTCTGGAAGGAGTTGTGTGAGCATTGGCAGAAAGACGGGACGGAAGTAATCTCCACCACCAACTCCACTAACCGCAGAAGCGAACGTGGCGGGAAGGGCGTGGCCAAACACAACTTGGGTGCCATGAGTATGGCCACTCTCGGAGATTAAATGGTAACTTGAATCTCTCTTTTTCAATTATTTAAGTATTTTTATTTTATTTTTATGCATTTATTCTGATTTCTATTGTTTTTTTTAACTTATATTTTTTCTAGGCGGAAGAAAATGATGGCGAGCTGGTTGATGCTTTCAAACTGTTGAAGCGGGCGCATACCAACAAGCATACCGGGGAGATTGGTGATGGTCTTATCAAGGAGGTGGTTGACATGATCACCACTCGCAAGGACGACGAAGAGCTCCGTCTATCCCAGCTTCAAACCGAGCTCGACTCCACTTTGACGGCTTCGGTCTCCCTGTCCCGAGAACGAATCAACGAGATTGTTGAATCGGTAAGAATGTTTTTATACAAAATTCAATTCATTTATTTCTTTATTTTTATTTTATAAGATTTTCTGTTACTAAATCTGTTTATTTTCTCTTGCAGTCGGTTCCAAAGAAGAAGTGACGTTTGGTCGGTTTGGGTCGTCGATCTAAACCAGTTCCTCCTACATCACAACCGCCTATCGATCCAATGGTTATGGAGCAGCTTCAGGACAAGGATGACCGCATAGCTGCGTTGGAGGCGAAGATGGCGGAACAAGAGAAGGGATGGGAAGAATCGAGGAGACAGAACGAGCGCATGATGAAGATGATGAGGCGGATGTACCCGAACGAGCAATTCCCGTAGTTTTTTTTTCTAAAACTCTGAATGTTTTTTATTTGAACAAATCTGAATTTATCTAATATATTTTCAGTTTCAAATTTTATTTTATATTTTTTAATTTTAATTATAAACAATTAATTTATAATTTTTGTAAAAAAAAAATTAATTTTACGAATATTCCGAGGAAGTGAATCCCTCGGAATTTTCCAAGGAAACCTGTCGTCAGAAATTTCCGAGGAGCTGACGTCCTCGAGAATTTCCGAGGAACAGCATTCCTCAGAAATTTTCGAGGGATACACTTCCTCGAAAATTTCCAACAGAATAGGTCCTCGGAATATTCTGAGGACTGCGGTTCCTCGGGAATTTCTGACGAAATAAATCGTCGGAATATTTCGATCATTCCGAGGACCCTTCCATCGGAAATATCTGAGGCTTTTTCGATGATACTTTCCTACGATACAGTTTTCGGAATATCTTCGGAAATTACGTCCTCCGGATTTCCTCGGAATGTTCCGAGAAAATTTCGAGGAAACATGAAATTCCGACGAAAAAATTCCGACGACCTTATTCGTCGATATGTCCTCGGAATTCCCTTATTCCGACGACATTCCGACGATTTTTTCTGTCAGAATCGCGGTGTTTTCTTTTGGTGATTAAGCCTCTCAATTATTAAGGACGGCACTTAAAGTAATTATCATTGAATAAGTATATAGTATTACATAGTATAATTTATATATTATAAGATCTTACATAATTTATCTTTTGCAATAACAGTATAAAATTTATAAAAATCTTGTTTTCATAGGTTCATAACTCTAGTTCCTTTATCTCATCTGTTTTCCACCGTTCTTCCAGAACATAACGAAACTTGAGCGCGAAACGGTTTGGATCATTCTCATGTCTCCGTACGTCCTGGCAAATTGTGCAGTCCGAACAACACACCATAAACCTGTCAAGCTTCTCAGTGCCGGCTTGTACAAGTTCGTCCTTAGGTCTCATTCCTAATATTCTATACATATTATCAATTCCGGTATGTTGCATAAAAATACAATGTGAAAGATTAAACATCTTTAGGTTTGGAAGACCAATGATGAGCGATATTGATGCATCTATACATGCATAACTGCATCGAAAGCTCAATCGCTCGAGGCTCGGAAAATTGCGTACAATTATATTGGCGAGAGGTTTGTCCAACATAGTAGTAAATTTCACGGTTGTAAGATTTCTACAGTTTTCTCCGATGGCTTGAAGCTCAACGCTGGAGAATTCACGTACCGTTATTGACATAAAAGTGTGTATAATCAACGTTTGAAGATTCTGCCATTTACTAAAGGCTGACTGAATTGAATTTATATTTAGTGATGTCCACATTGGTAAAGCAAGTTTTTGAATGTTCGGCATCCTTCAGAAAAAAAAAGAGAGAAGAAGATTTAGTATATCAGATTTCTATCCTATGTAAAGATAGCTCAAAAGTGAGTACTAATTAACATAGTTTTGAGTACCCATTAGAAATGATTGCAAGCTCCTCTTCTGCTACATTGCAATATACGTTGAAAAAAAAAGATTTCGGGGCAGTACGGGCGAATTTGTTGATCTCAATTAAGATCTTCCTCAGCTGGTATCGACTACCACTAGCCTGCAGATTAGGGTAGAGAGGGTTATCCAAAATTATTGAATCAAGATCGTTGAGTTTGATGGTGTTCCATATAGTTTTGTTGTGAGAGGCAAGGAACCATGTGATGCACACTCGTGATGCTCCCATGATAACGTCTAATACGTCGAGCTTCTTAAAAATGTTTGAAAGTATGTCTTTATCCATATTTTCCCATCTGGGAATATTTCCTGATCCTTCTTGATTCTCCATTAATTACAACGGAATAAGTGTATACAAAGAATATTTGACTCGAGATTATAGTCACTTACTTTTTCACAATTCTGAATTTTTAAGGGTGATTGATTCAACCAAATGATGTAGAATATTTATAGGGTGTGGCAAGACATTTAAAATCAAAACATCAGTAATTCATAATAATTGTGATAGTATCTTGTGTAGATATGTTACTTAAAATCTTTAAATTATGCATTGTTGAAAATAATTATATTTCATATTGTTGATAAGATTATGAAGATTATCAAATGTAACATAATTTAATGATAATATCTTTCAATATCTTTATCTTTCTATTTGAAATACAAATGAAGTAAATCTAACAATTTTTTTTTGGCATCTATTTAAATTATATCTCCATATTATTAACCCATATATTTATCTTTTATTTGATATAAAAATGTTTTTGTTTAAGATATTAAAAATTATCTAGATGGCACTATATATTCCTAAATCCTAAATAACAAAACTATATACTAGAGTTTGATCCACACAGATTTTTCATTTTTTAAATATAACACTTTGATATTATTATAAAAAAAAAATTAAATATATGATTTACATTTAATGTTATATATTATATAACTCTATAATTTTGTTGTTTAAGTTTCTTATTCTTCATAATTAATATATAGTAAATTTTTATATATTTTAATGTATATTCCTATTGATTGTTATTACATACTAATATATTTTTTGAGTTTGATACATAAATTATAATCTGAATAATCAAATATATAATCTTCTTTAATATAGAGTTTTATTTTCTGCAATTTGCATACAATACATTTTAACATTTATTTACATATACTATAGATAAATATTTGTTAACTATAATTTTTATTTTCATGTTATGTTTAAAAATGATACTTTAACATTTATTATTTTAGTATTTTGCAAGATTTTAAAAGAAAATATATTATTATGTATTGGAAATTAATCACTCTCCACTAGGGTTTCTTTCTTTTCTTTTTTTGCTAAAAGGTAAATATCATTAGAATGAAGGTTCAGATTTACAAATCTCTCCACTTGGGTTCTCATTTCACTCTTCTTCATTGTTACGTTTCTTGCACCACAAGTCGAATCTAGGGCTTTCTACGTCTTTGGTGACTCTCTCGTTGTCAATGGAAACAATGATTACCTTGTCACCACTGCTCGCGCTGATAATTACCCGTATGATATCGATTACCCGACCCGTCGACCCACCGGACGTTTCTCTAATGGCCTCAACATACCCGACATTATCAGTAATTAAGCATTACTAGATTTGGACCCGCACAACCGTGCGGGTTATATAATATATATATATATATATATATATATATATATATATATATATATATATATATATATATATATATATTTGTTTTATATCATTAATAACGTTAGTCATATATAACTATTACAAACATAATAGTTTTATAGCTTGTACGTTAATATCAATTTTTTTCTTATTATATATTTATCTAATTGGCTTTATATTTAATTATTAAAATTAATATATGCATGAAAAATCATATTATTTTATATATAATTTATACTAAATTATTATTTGAGTTTCAAAGTTAGATTACCGTTTATTAAACTTTTTATGTTTATAAAGATAATACGATATTATAAAAGTTCAAGATATGTTAATTTTATACATGTATTTATAGTTACTAATGTTAATCCGTTCTGCCAATATATTATATATTTTTAACATTAATATTTTCTATTTATGAAAATAAAATTGATTAATTTATCAATTTAATATAATTTTATAACATTCACTTTATTATAATAATTTCATTTAATTTGATAGTTTATGATTATTAAATAGCTAAAAAGAATAAAATCTGTTTTCATATTCATAT